ATTCCTCTCTGATTTGGACCGTTTGGTCGTGGTAGAGCTCGCGAGGGACGATTAGAAGAAAACTGAGAAGTTCTTCCGCGGTTTGCCTGTTGGAGATTCTACCTTCTTTTCTAGCTCTTCCACCTTGTCGTCCAGCATCAAGGCGTTGATACTTTCTAAAATGTCGCGTTCTTCACGGCGTTCTTGCTCGAGAATCCTTTGCTCTTTTTCCGCATTCGCAACGACGGTTTCGATGTCTTCCTGTTCAGGCAAGCGTCTGATTGCTTTCCTGATGTCAGGTCTTAGTTTTTTGATGAAGAAATCGACTGCGAGCTTTCTTGGTAGAGCTGCATCTTCGCCTTGAAACGCTACTCTGATTTTCGCCAGAATTTTTCTTGCAAATTCTCCGACCGAATCCTTTCCTTGACGCATGTTAAGCAGTTCATCACGAACGTTGCTGAGCATCGCTTGGTTTTTGAATCTGCTTGCCAAGGTTTGCGTAGTGGAAGCCCATGTAGCTTTCTTTTCCGGGGTCAGCGCTTGGTATTTGAGTTTTGTGCCGGTGAGATATAAAGGAAGTAAGCGCTGCGAGTGCTCATGCTGGATGCCTAGGTTAGTGACCAACTCTTTAAAATCTTAAAAAAATCCTTCAAAGGTCATGTCGCCATCTCCCGAAAACTTTTCCAGACGGGTTCCCAAAAGTTTGCATGAAGCGTAAAGCGGTGGAAGGTCTTCTGGTCGCTGCATAGTTGTTCTTCGCGGGGGTTTTCGTACCTCTTCTTCGTTTCTCCTTTGCAACGATGACCTAAGATTATCTAGGACGGACTGGAATCGACTCTTTGTTTCCTCGTCAGATGACTCAGATTTGATATCGGACTCGTGTTCGAGCTTTCCAGGCAAATCTGCCTGGACCTTTTTTCGAGAAGTGCGCGGGGTCTCTACGTCTTCTACCCTTTTAAACAAGCTTTCCCTTTTCCTTGCGTACTCTAGGGCGCGTTCCGCTCTAGTTGCGGGTTGTTTATGTAAAGAGCGCGGCAGCTTGCTCTTGAGAGTTTATGTTGAGAGTTATGAGATCTTGTGTTACAGGCGAAAGGACGCTCTGTGCAGAATCAGACTAGAGGCGGTGCAGCCACGAAGATAGAACGAAGCAACAATTCGATGGATTGGACAGTAGATTGTTTTTGTTGCAAAATATCTTTCTGATGCTCTTTTTGTGCTCTGTTCCTTTGAATTGAATGAAGATTTGGGGGGGGGGGGGGGGAAAGGGCAGGAGACGGTGTGACGCGAGAGAGGAGGAGGTGATAGCAGCGAAGCAAAGAGTTACGGTAACGATGCATTTGACCACACGGTGTTAGATACGATGTTACCAAACACTCACTGTCTCCTGTCCTGCTGTTGATGTTGTTCTGTCGAGTATAGTGTAGATTAATAGTGCAGTTGGCAGTACGGTGGTTCGAGGGTGGCAGTGAGAGAAGTTGGAAGTGATCTGGGTGGTTGACTGGTTTTTAATCCTTATCGGAATACACTTCATCGATTTGGGGCTCCCATTCATCCAGTTCTTCGTCCGAAGTCTCCGGTGTTTCAGGACCGGCTCGATAACGGACATATCGTGGTTGTGGTAAAAGTCTCTCCCAAGGATTGAGGTGTAGTTCAACTGGCCTGTGCGGTTGAGGTAGCTGCACATACACGAGCTCCATCGGCACATACTCCATGCTTTCTTCGCCTGTTTGGAGCCATACGAGCGGCAGATCCGGGTGTTTCAGTTCACCAAGATCGTCGTGGTGATTTGCGACGGTTCTTTTCCCTGCACAATCTTCGCATGTGCACGGGGTTTGCGCAGTAGTGCCCTCGTGCACTTGCATGCCACGAAAGGAGGGTAGGGCACGTTCGTGGGGGAGACTGAAGGCGGCTTCCGCCACCGTTAGGGCCTCATATATGTAAGCCCTGATGCGGAACATCCGCACTTCCTCGGCTGGTCGGCCATCTAGAACCTCTCTATTAGTGTGGTGAGGCTGATGAGATTTGTTCGGTCCCTGTTAGCGAGTTCATTTAGTTCCATTAGGAACTCTGTTGTCTGTCAGTCCTTAGTTGGCGCTGCATACTGACGTGGTGTTGTATTTTCGCCAAAATTTCTCGGGCTTCGCGGGAGATTTCAAAATATGGAAGCATTCTAGAAGCAAAAGCGTTGAAGATATCTGTGCGAAGCGTAGCGAAAATGAGGAGTAAGGTGCATGAGTACAGTATACTTGAGACTGAAAGCAAACATAAAATCCTGCATTGGTAAAGCAACATCTTTTCGTGTTAAGATTACTTCGCGAAGGTGTTGCTTGCCTGCAGGGCTTTTCCAACGTCTTCAGAAAGGTACCCGTTAAAGCTTGGCTTCTGTCACTTTGAATCTGTAGTGCCTCGCGAGAGATTGACGTTTGGTGACGGTGCATACATAGTAGAAAGTTGAGGAAAAAAGGAAGTAAAAGTTCTTTTTCCGGGTTTTCGCTGATGAGAACCTGGTCCGGAACCTCCGCGTTATAGAATTATGCTGCGTTCCGTAGTTTTCCCAGTCTTAAGGATTACTGTACTGTTACGCTAGACCCATCACCTAGATCCGAGACAATTAGCCATATGAACCAGACACTAGGTAGCATATGTAAGGTTTATTGTAGTAGCAATAGAAGCACGGCACACACAAGCGGATATAGATAGGCGGCTACAAGCGATAAGATTAAACTATCTACTGGCTAACTGCTTGGAATCGAGAAATCCTCCCGGTGGCTCCTCCTCCGAGTCGAGTCGTAAATCTTCGGCGGAGGCTCTGTTAACCATCGCTTTTCCTACAAGAACATGTTACAGAGGAAATAATTCAAAGCGAGAGTTGAAACAAATTAGCAAGAAGGGGAATAAATGAGTGGGGAGGGGGGCTCACCTCAGCATGGTGGTTGAGGGACCAGCCGTGCTGCCGTACGAGCGAGCTCGGGAGGGCGGGGCTTATTTTTTTACACCCTCTTTGTGGGCGGATAAGATGGCGCGGCCGAACCTGGGCGATTGGCGCTGCGATAGTTTTGTGCGTTTTCTGCATCTTACCGCATCGGAAAGTCCCGGTCCTACTCGGGACTATTAAAATTGGATAGGCTCGCGTTGACAAAAGGCGGTGATGTGGTCGGTTTTGTTACATCTAAAATAAGTATGCGTAGCGTTACAGTGTAGGCTGTTGTGAGCTCTAGGCAATGAAGACGTAGTTGGTTGATGAGGAAGAGTTTGATCAACCTATCGTTAAACGGCATTGTGGTTTGGCAGTTTATTGTGAGTTGTGTATGGTGATGGCATGAAAGGCACGGAGGAGATGGTCGTGTGTGTGGAGGTGCTCTGACTCTATTGTGGCTAATGTGATGAGAGCGCAAGAGCAAAGAAGATTTCTGAAGTAACGGGGAGTGGCCGAGAGTAGAGGTGCTCTAGGTCGAGGGTATTTGTTGTGTGAGACTTTGGAGGATGGCAAAATCTTTGATGGTCAGTGTTTGATAGGACAAGTTTGGGTTTTCGGATGATTTCGAAAGTGTACCGTTGCTGAGGAGAGGTGACGTAAGAATAGAGGAGATGTTAGTAGAAGAAACAGCGTTTTTCATAGTATTGTCATCTACATTTACACAAGGCAAGCTGGTAGGAAATTCGGTCACGGATGATACAATACGATCACAGAGAAAAGAAGGAGTTTGCGAGGATACACTTACCGCGAAATTTTGGTTAGTGGAAGGTTTTGGAGAGGGAGAGTTAGAAGGAGAGAATGGGGAAAATAAGAAAATGAGGGGCGACGAGGATTGGTGCGAGGTGCGAGGTGATGTTGAAGAGGAGGAGCATGTGCGCTTGAAGGTTGGGAGACGACGGGCGGATATTGGTAGTTGATGGTGTGAAAAAATTCTGAGAAAAAAGTGGATGCCTTTACTTAGGTCCTAGAGGTTTGGGATCCGTTTGGCATAAGGCCGTTGGGTGGTCTAATTTGCTGCACCGTGAGCAGAATATTTCGAAGGCAAAAATCGGGTGAACGGGATTTCGAACATGAGGTACATAAGTTGTATTCCTTGAAGAGTATTTGAAGACGTTTATGGTGAGGCATTGTGATTTTACAACTGCGTGTATATTGATTGTCGTGACAGAGGCAGCAGGGACCCATCTCTGGTAGCCAGGATCTTCTAGTGGCCATTTGAGGGGTCTTGCGGCCAATCTAGATTGTGGTTTAGGGGCTTGCCGGATACGTTCAAGGTACATGTTGTAAAGCATTTCAGAAGTTGATTCTCTTGGTGATGAAGGCGGCGATCGGTTGCATATCCACTTTGTTGTTAATCTCTCTCTTCCTTCTGCGGCCGAATCTGGACCACGTTGGAGACGAAGACCGAGCTGTAGGTGGCGATTCTGGTCCCTCTTCTTTTGGGGCTGAGACGTTTGGTCTTTTGCGGTCAGCGCGTTTCGAGGCATCGTTGTAACAGTTTCCGGACATCTGAAATGTTTAGGTGTTCATTTTCCATGTTTCAGTATGTTTAACAAATTCAACTTGTTGGCTGTGACAAGCAATCGGCCGGGGGCGCCCTAGTGCGGCGAGGTGAACTGTCGCGCTTGCGCGTTGCGGCTCTAGCGGCGGCGTGGAATGGCAATGTTTGAAACTTTGGTCGGCAGGATTGCATTGTTTCCACGTAACTTCGCTTGTCTTTTGTCTCTTAGGCATTTACTTCAATTTCTTAATTCTTTGTCGCTACAGTTGCCTTTTTGGAGTGGTTATTTGCTCATTCCTTTCTTCTTTTGTACAACTGATTAGAGATTTCGAAATTATGTCGCGATCTCGTAATTTTTATGTCTTTCCTCGTGCGTTTTGCATTCAGGCTAGCGCCTGATCGCTTTCCTAATCAGGTCTCAATCCTTTGATGAAGAAATCGAGTGGAGTGTTCTTGGTAGAGCTGTGTCCTCGTCTTAAAACGCTACTTTGATCTTTGCCAGTACTTCTCGCAAATTCTCAGGCCAAGTCCTTCCCTCGACGCATGTTGAGCAGTTCATCACGAACATTGCTAAGCATCGCTTGGTTTTTGAATCTGCTTGTCAAGGTTTGCGTCATGCACTTGGTATTTGAGTTTTGCTTCGTCGATGAGGTATAAAGCGTTGCGCGTGTTCATGCGGGATGCCTAGGTTATTCATCAGCTCTTTGTACTCTTCCGAAAATTCTTCAAACGTTTTGTCGCCATCTCTTGAAAACTCTTCCAGGTGGGTTCTTAAAAGCTTGCACAAGGCGTAAAGTGATGGGAGGTAGGCTGGTTTTTGCATAGTTGTTCTTTGCGGGGGTTCTGGTTCTTCTTCTTCCACGGACTGGAATCGGGTCTTTGTTTCTTCGTAAGATGTCAAATTTGATATCCTACTGGTGTTCTAGCTGTCCAGTGAAATTTGTCTGGACTTTTTTCCGAGAAGTGCGCATCTTCTAACTTTTTGAAAACTCGTCTTTACGTCTTCTAACTTTTTGAACAGGCTATCCCTTTTCCATACGTACTCTAGGGTGCATTCCGCTCTACTTGCGAATGGTTTATGCGGAGGGTGCGGCTGCTTGCGCTTGAAATTTGTATTGTTAGAATTATGCTCATGAGACTTTGTGTTACAGGCGGAAGGAAGCTGTGTGCGAAATTGGACTAGAGGCGGTGCAGCCGGCGAGGATAAAACGAAGCAACAATTCGATGAATTGGATAGTAGATTTTTTTGTTGCAAAACATCCTTTCTGATGCTCTTTTTGTGCTATGTTCCTTTTGATTGAATGAAGATTTGGGCGGAAGGGCAGGAGGGTGACGGTGTGACGCGAGAGAGGAGAGAGACGATAGCTGCGAAGCAAAAAAGTTACGGTAATTATGTGATTCGGTCACAGTTAGATGCATTGCATTGAGGCTATGGTCGTCATCCTCAATCTCGTTGGTGGTGTATACTCCGGGTAGATCTTCATCAGCTGACACAGTTCTCTAGGGACTGACAAACGAAAACGCTCAATAACTTCTTTTTTCGTTCGTATATAGAGAAAGTTTGTGATGGCCACTTGACGACGTCTCGATAGCATTTCGTCGCATTCCAGGCGGAGCGGATCATCTGTCTTCAAATAAGGGTGCGTTGAGGCGCGCATCAAGTACTCTTTCTCCGATATGGCGCAGTCGACTGGGGTTGGCAATGCGATAACGTTGGCTGATGGGTTCGTGCCGCAAATCTGGTATTGCTGTGACATGGCGAAGGCAATGCATTGCGTCATAATCAGGGCGACAACACAAAGGAGATGAGATGCGCCAAAAGGTGAACGAGTAGATCCTGATGTTGTAGGATACGGGTAAGTGCTACTGGGGTCATCCGGATTGTAGAATTGACTGTTGTGCTAGTTAGGGAAGGGTCCTTAAAAAAAAGGTCTAGAGGGGTTGCGTGGTCCGCCTCTAAAGAGGTTCCTTCTTCCACGGTAATTGGTTCCACGAGTTTGGTTATAAGGCTGGTACCTTTGGAAAAATGGCCTTTAACTTCCAATCCTCCCCTTTTCCGTTGTTGAGGAGGGGTTGGCCTCCGCGCTTGCTGGATCTTTAGAGCGTTCAACTCACGCTCAAGTCTTTCGATCTTATCATCTGCTATCATGGCGTTGATGGTTTGTATGGTATCCTTATCGTCTTGCCTTTCCTGCTGGAGGATACAATATTCTTTTTCAGCCGATACCACAACAGTGTCAAAGTTCTTGGCTTCAGGCAAGCGTCGCATAGCTTTCCGTATGTGAGGATAAGTCTTTGATGAAAAAGTCAATCGCCATTTGGGAGGCCATTGTCTTATCCATTCCTTGAAAGGCAATCTTATGTTGTAGATCTTCTGGGCAAACTCAGCAACGCTATCCTTTCCTTGGGTGATGTTGTGAAGTTCGTCGCGCAGATTACTCCAGAGCGTCGCTTTTGAAATCCTTGGCCAAGGTAGTTGTCAAATCCTTCCAGGTCATGGTATCTGCCGCCTCTTGGTTATTGTACCTCATACGCGCGGGACCAGTAAGGTATAGAGGAAGTATGATTTAAGATCAGGCGGGATGTCGAAGCGATAGATGAGATCCGTGTATTCTTCCAGGAATTCTTCGAAGGTACGGTCTCCAGTACTGTGAATTCGGGCACTCTATCACCCAGAAGCTTACACGCTTGATACACAGAAAGTCCTTCCTCAAGTGGCTGCTCTGGACGAGGAGGGTTGTTTTGTTGTTGACCCGTACGATCACTTCTTCTTCCCTTCTCCCGATCCTCTTCGGGATTCTGCTGACTTGTCGACTGCTGGTTCTGATCTTCCATTTTTCTAAGTCTTTCTCGTAGACGTCTCTCACGTTCAGTATTTTCTTCCGGTGAGTCCAACTTATGAGGGGATCACGTAAAGGCGAGGTTGGGATTCTTAGCGGACCGTAGCTTTTGCGCAGAGAGAAACGAGGACAGGATTGATACCGAAAGAGATACGAAAGAGAATTCGAAATAATGTTTCGGTCTTTTAATGAAGGAAGAGATGGATGAGAGGATGGATAAGTAGGATTGTGTAGGATCACATTGCAATGAAGTCACAATGTTATTGGAGCACTCAGTCAATTGCCGTTAGTGTAGGTGTATAAGGCTCAACTCGGTAAACGATGGATTGCAGTAGCACGTCTAGCACGAGTATGGTTTGAGGCCAAAGAGGCGAGGCTTGCGGTCTCTGAAACGCTAATATTAGATTCGACAAATTTATTTCTTTGTACTATTGCAAGTCTAGTCAGCACGCTGCTGCTCGCGGAGTACAAAGCCATTAGTGGGATAAGCAGGAGCGAGTGTTATAGTTGCTTGTCTTCGCTCGGGGGTGTGGCGTAGGCAGCAAATTTATATCGCTTCGCTATCGCCAACTGTTCGTGATTCGAGGATCTCGCATTGTACAAAGGACATATGGAGAACATCGAGAGCGCGGCAGCAACTGTTTTATCCTCACTCGAGAGCGCGGTGCAATTAACTTTCCAGCGCATTTGCTACCTTTGAAACAAAAGCGGCTGCTTGCACTTACAACGGCGCCCTAAGTAGGTCGGCAGCTGTTCGTGCGGATGCGTGGTGTACTTGCATTTGCAAAGATTCATAAATTGTAACTTTACCGTTATCAGTCAAGAGATGGCAGAGGGATCCACACTTGTTCGTTGGCTACGTGCACATCTCTGTGATTTTCATGGAATTTCAGCATGGGCATATAGAGGTATTTGAGTTTGGCTTGAAGGAAATTCTTATAATGGTACGCATGAGTGTGAACAGGGGAGCGCGGACAGTGGCAAGTTTTGGCGAAAACATTGTGAGATATGTGCAATTGGGGCATTCCCTGCAGTTTCTTCCCCGTAGCGCCATCGACAAAATCCTGCACGAAGGTGAGAGTATCAAGATATCTCTGGATCTGTTGGAGAGGAACACGATAGAGCGATTTTCCAAATGCGACTTTCAAGAGGGAAGAGAGGCGCGCGAATCTTTTTAGTCTGTCTCCTGGACTTCGCACAAAAGGAATTGAGGCTAGGTCTTTCTGCTGCTCTTTTACTAACTCTGGGGTGAATCCAGAGATGTGGTTCTGGATGTGGACCGCTGTGTGTCCGTTGATGTATGTGTAAGCCATGGCACGAAGAATAGTTTTGGCCATAGTTAAAAGCCTGAAAAATTAGGATCGGATAACGCGAACGACGTATTACGGCATACGAAAAGCGAAACCGAGATTTACTTTACATACACAGAATGCTACAATGATCAAGACGTTCAGATAAAATATGTTCCTAACAATACCCGCGAGGTTGAGCGTCTACCTGGCCAGGTCTTCTCTCTCGCTCTGCTACAATACCCGTTGGAGCTTTGCTCCTAGTCACTGTACATCTTGTTCGGCAGTCTTCGCGGTGAGATATGAGCGAGTGTGACTTCTGTTCGCCGTTTTCCTCCTACAAATTACAAATAGCGGAAAGCACTATCGACTAGCAGCGAAGTCGTGTTATCCGATGATCCGAGAAAAATTACGAAGTAGCGGAGCGTCAGTTGCAGTTCGACTATGGTGGTATATGTTTCTGCTTATCCGGATATGTCAGGATAAGCAGAAAGGATGTGTCAGGATGAGAGTCTGCAGTTCCCTTACCTGAGCGTGTAGCGGTATTACATAAGAGTGTATTATTATATTTATTGTATCATAAAATAAGATAAAGAGGGGAAGTCTTCAAGAAAAATTCGTCCAAATATAGGAATATCTCTCCGGGATCTCCAAGTCAGGACAAGGGTCTGCAGTTCCCTTACCTGAGCGTGTAGCGGTATTACAGTGTATTATTATATTTATTATATCATAAAATAAGATAAGAGGGGAAGTTTTCACGAAAAAATTGTCCAAATATAAGAATATCTCTCCGGGATCTCCAAGTCAGGATAAGGGTCTGCAGTTCCCTTACCTGAGCGTGTAGCGGTATTACATAAGAGTGTATTATTATATTTATTATATCATAAGATAAGATAAAGAGGGGAAGTTTTCAAGAAAAAATTCGTCTAAATATAGGAAAATCTCTCCGGCATCTCCAAGTCAGGATAAGGGTTTGCAGTACCCTTACCTGAGCGTGTAGCGGTGTTACATAAGAGTGTATTATTATATTTATTATATCATAAAATAAGATAAAGAGGGGAAATCCAAGAAAAATTCGTCCAAATATAGGAATATCTCTCCGGGATCTCCAAGTCAGGACAAGGGTCTGCAGTTCCCTTACCTGGGCGTGTAGCGGTATTACATAAGAGTGTATTATTATATTTATTATATCATAAAATAAGATAAGAGGGGAAGTTTTCACGAAAAAATTGTCCAAATATAAGAATATCTCTTCGGGATCTCCAAGTCAGGATAAGGGTCTGCAGTTCCCTTACCTGAGCGTGTAGCGGTATTACATAAGAGTGTATTATTATATTTATTATATCATAAGATAAGATAAAGAGGGGAAGTTTTCAAGAAAAAATTCGTCTAAATATAGGAAAACCTCTCCGGCATCTCCAAGTCAGGATAAGGGTTTGCAGTACCCTTACCTGAGCGTGTAGCGGTGTTACATAAGAGTGTATTATTATATTTATTATATCATAAAATAAGATAAAGAGGGGAAATCCAAGAAAAATTCGTCCAAATATAGGAATATCTCTCCGGGATCTCCAAGTCAGGACAAGGGTCTGCAGTTCCCTTACCTGAGCGTGTAGCGGTATTACATAAGAGTGTATTATTATATTTATTATATCATAAGATAAGATAAAGAGGGGAAGTTTTCAAGAAAAAATTCGTCTAAATATAGGAAAATCTCTCCGGCATCTCCAAGTCAGGATAAGGGTCTGCAGTACCCTTACCTGAGCGTGTAGCGGTATCACATAAGAGTGTATTATTATATTTATTATATCATAAGATAAGATAAAGAGGGGAAGTTTTCAAGAAAAAATTCGTCTAAATATAGGAAAATCTCTCCGGCATCTCCAAGTCAGGATAAGGGTCTGCAGTACCCTTACCTGAGCGTGTAGAGGTGTTACATAAGAGTGTATTATTATATTTATTATATTCATAGATTAGATAAAGAGGGATAACGGGAGGGGGAGCAGCTAGACTGCAAGGAGTAGAGGAGATGGCATGTCAATTGTTGGCACGTTCTTATTATATGTGGCCGGAACAGAAATTCAGAAATTTTCTGTTCTTTCTCCAAATCCTTCTGTTGAGTACCATACTAGCTCCAGTGCTCCTTCCTCGTTCCTCTCGTAGAGATACCGAAATATTGCCATTCCGGTGGACGCGACTCCTCTCTCTGCTCCTCTTCCCGTGGTTCCTATTGGAAGTACTGCTGATAGGCCGGATCTTTGCTGAAGTCCATCGGCTCGACTGCCGGCAAGTCGTCTGCGTTTGGAGGGGCTGGTTATTCGGGTTATCCGAGTCAGGTATTGACAGAGTGGCCCCCATACGGGGGCCTCATCAAGATTTTTGTTATCTCCGGGTTTTGGATTGGGAGTCATCTAAAAAGATTCACGTACAATGCAAGTGGAATTCAAAGAAATTGAATCAAGCATTCTCCAAGCATTTTTTGCAGATTGGTACCGTTACGTATTTCATTGTGTTTTATTTACATAGGGGCAAGGTAACACGGGGGTGCTCTCTCAAACAGAAAACTAAGGGTAAGAAAAATTTGATTAATAGTGCAATAATAGCTATAATAAAACAGTAGAAAATATCATAGACATTTGAATAATAGAAAAATATCACAGACAGAATAAATAGATAGAAAATAGAGAAGTCAGCTTAGTTGAGAAGAGAATAATAGAGAAGTAAGTTTGGTTGAGAAGTAACCACAGGAAAGTAATGGATCGATAGCTCTGAAGTAGTGCTGGCTGCAATTTATTACTCGTCGTAATAGACAGCTGACCCCAAGCGGATTAGAGCTTTGCTGGTTTGACCCTTGCGCAAGGCGAAAGTCTTTGATGGATCAAGGTCGGCTTAGGTCTTTGAGAAATACAATCATAGCAGTTAAGTTTCATGGCTTCAAATACATTACCATATTCAACTCATTGAGAAGGAAAATGCTGATATTTACACTTTTTTTGCTGTTGGCTTGGAGGAAGAACGCGTTCGAGAGTTTGGTTGATGTGTACAGTAGATAAATGCTTTCTCCGATTTCTAGGGTTGTATTTTAGGTTGAAATTCTCCTCGTTCCAATTTAAGCTTTGATCTTCGTATCATCTTTTTGAAGCTTACTGGCATAAATCCGTTCGAGTGGCGAAATTCAAGAAAAGTGATCTATTCCGCTCTCGCCAACTACAACTTCAGTTCAATGCTCAAGTACTAAAAAATATGAAAATTTATTTGATTTACTGGTTGTCTGAAATTCCATGATGTTTTAGAAGATTTGGTATGTTAGTCGGAAATTCCGGATTTGCAATTGGTGCAGTTCTAGGGGTTTGACTTTGAGTGTTTTTATCTTCTACTTATAAATGGTTCTGTAATCCTTATCGATTATCTGGTCAGTCTCCTCAACACTTTGCTAAACGTCCTGAAATCATAAAACCCTAAATACTCTCCAGTAATTAGTGTTTATCTGGTGACTGCCATAACTAGAAACCGCCCCTCTCAACATGATTTTCTTTCGGCTGTGCTTCCGTTCGTTCGCTTGCTTTTTATAGCCTTAGTTTCACTACTATTTACGGATTGTGTTAATTGAGCGATCATTTACGCGCTCCAGCTCTGCCAGCCAAAAATAGCTATGGAGCATATTTTTCTGCATGAATTCACTGCACAGAGTTACTGCATTATAGGAATGCTATTCACGTTTCTCTTTCGTGCACTTGTTTTACAATTACGCTGAAGCATGACGGAGTAAGTTTTTCGGTTTTTTGGCGATTCTGATTCCCAGTGTTTAGCAGCATTTCTACGTTTATATCATTCGTTGCAGAGAGAATCTTGTTTGTTCGCTGTGTAGTGCTTCATTTTCGTCCAAGCAATCTCTTACGAAGCACATACACCAACATTTGTTTTATCGGTTAGTTTTCTTTTTCTTTCAGAAAATGACAGAATAGACAACATCCACTTGTTCCATAAGACAAAAAGAGCAGTTATTTTTGAATTATGTTTGTTTAGGAAGTATGAATGCGGTTCTTGTGCGGATTTGTTCTACACGGATGAGGAGCGTGAAGCACACTGTAAGAAAAAGGGACACTTCCATACATTCGGAGTCAGTCAACCTTTTTTTTTTTCAAAGTTTTCTGATCCATTTCAAATCGATCTTTTTTACTTCAGATGAGGGTATCTTCGTATTGTGAACTGTACGTGAATCAGTTTCTAAAGGATATTGAACATATTGCCACATATGGGATTGATAACGTTGTCATGCAGAGAAGTAAAGCGAACTTAGCATGGTTGGTTCAGTTGCCCACGGCAGGGAAAGTAATAGTTCATTCTCCCTGAATCTAGTGACACTGCCATTAGCAAACTGCCACGCAAGAGCAGTCCTGTCAAGAGAAAGCGCAATTCACTGTCGCCTTCGCATCGTGAAACATCGCTAAGGTAAGCGATGCTTTAAGGCATGTTTTTAGAGGGAATAGCTTCTCTTGCATTTTACGGCATCTTTTCTTAGTAGTAGCTAAAAGTTGAGCTTTCTTCAAAAAGCCCGATTGACTTTGCTTTTCGATGTCTAATGGTTAACTTGCATCTAAGATAGTATTGAAGTGTTCCAGCTTTTCTCAGGTATTTTTAGCAAATCAAACAATGTTAAAGACTCATCTGTCAACGAACTTCATGAGCATGGTGACCCCAATGAAGCTGATGAGTATCTGGAAGGTATCTCTTTGAACTTTCGCATTCTATTGCAATTTTTGTCATTTGAATTGATTTCTTCATTTTCAAATTAGCTAAGTTTTGTGATAAAATTTCTGTGATTGCTTTGTCTACTATAATGCACTTACTCCTCGGATTTTAGAGCCCTCAACCAGCAGTGCCAGAAAAGTCAAAGAATCTCGGAAACGCATTCGCATGCCTAGTGATGACTGGATGCGCATAGAAGTTGTAAGTTTCCCATTTCTTTGTCTGCTGTTATCAGCCGTTCTCACTTTACAAACTTGCATTTTGAGGATAACACTACGTCGATATCACCTGCCACTCAAATTCTCAGCGAAGCTTTGCGTACCAATGCCCCTGAAGTGCGATGTACATTATGCAAAGCAATGACGTCCTCTGATTACGGTAAGATTTCACTGAGAAATCATTCAACCTTCATTTATTTTTGTAACGTCGAAAATGCTAAACTCGAAGTATCTACATTGTAAGGGTCTGTTACGCGAGAAAGATATATTCAGACAGTATGCAAAGTAATTTATCTAAAGCTACCATCAATTTGTGAACGGGACGAATCACTTGCTTTCGTTTAGTACTGCGGAAGCACCACGTATCGTCCGTGCATATGCCCAAAGATCACACTGAATCTGACTATGTCGAGATCTTGAGCGCCCTGGTAGGCCGGCTTTTGAACATTCGTTTCTCGTATCGAAAGTCCTCATTCAGATGCAAAAAGCCTACCCAACAATGACCTACAACGACTTGCAGTGTCAAATAGGAGGCTGTCGAAAAGAGTACAAGTGCCAGTCAGCGAGGTATTCCACCAAAGCCTAGCTCAAAAATTTGTATTCTTCATGCTCTAAGGCGGAACCATGTGCTACGAATACATTTCCAAAATGAGCTCAGTTGTCCGATCAAGGCATGTTCCTTTCGGTCAAACGATTTCCCTAGGATAAACACGCATCTGAAGGTAGGGTTATTACTGAATTCTTCAGCTTACTATAGTCTAGATTCTATTTTTTTTTAGGAAGATCATGGACTTGCGAATGGCTACCAGTCAATTAGCAGTGCAGCAGTAAGAGATCAGTTCAATGCGGATAGGGCAAAACACAACCATCGTTTGACAACTCTGGTTCAGTTGGCATTCCCTTGTAATATTCCAGAGATATGCAAGTCTAGTCATAAGGTCTGTACCGCCTTTTGCCTATCTGCGAGAGCAGCAAGATGTGGACACTTATAAAATTCAGGCTGATGTGTCCTCTTCTGGAGCTGTTGTACAGAGCATTATCACACGTATACGCGAAAAGGATAGGAAGTTTCAAGTTTGTTTCTTCCCTTGCGTGTACTGGACACGTAATATATAGACTTGTATTTAGACGGCTCCCCCAAACCCGTTGCGTTTGCGTTCTCCAAGTACAAGCTCTGATTCGGATTCGTCAGAGACTGAAAAGGCAATGCGTGCTGTCTCTACTACTCTTCTTTAGTGGCATTTCTTGGTGGTCGCATCTCTTCGAATAGATGAAGTTTTAGATACATAAGTCACCTAAACTGCGTACAACGGTATGTGTGAACAAATCAGGAAGCATTACCATATCGAAAGATGTGCGGGCAAGTTCTGCATCCTCTCCGGTAGGTCATTCATTTTCGGTACGTACTTTGTTTTGCAAATTCTGTGATACATCAGACTGTGGCACCTAGCAGTATCAGTAGTGGTAGCAGTTCCGATAGTGAGGATGCGAATAGAGCTACTAAAGCGGTAAGATCTTAATTATGACTCTTGACTATTCCACATGTCATTCACTATATTTCAGTGAGCCCATTTTACTTTGCTTTTGTTAGGCAAACACTATGCTTTGCAAATCCAATGCTGCTTGGGTACGTTAGACTCCCCCCCCCCCTAGACGGATGTTTATTGTGGGAGGATGTCGCCCTGTTAGAGGTGGATTGGAGTTCATGAAAAGAGCGCGGGAAAATACTCCAAAAATCCATGTTGTTCGCAACAGCGCGTTAAAATCTGGCATTGCCTTTGCGAACATAGTGGCCACAATCAGCCAATTACAAGTGAAGGGCTCGGGCGTAATTGGTTCGCCTTATTTTGAAGTACACTTTTTTTGCCAAACGTTAGGTTGAAAACGTCACTTTCAATGGTTCTTGGTGCATTTTGCTTACTCTCCACCTAGTGCTTTGTTCAAAATATTGCGCATATAAAGTGCTTCATTGAGTTTGGAAATATCTGTCATGCCCAACACAAAGAGGTAAACTGTTCATTGCACTTTGGATCAAAATATTACTATGTGTTTATATCCTTTTTTGAAGCTCATTTCGCTTCAGCATAGTCACTCACTTCTCAGCAAGCATGAGCGAACGAAGAGCAAACATGGACATAGGGAGAAGGTAATTTTCTATATACTACACTAAAGATGTTCCTTGTGCCGTAGTTAAACGCGCACTTTTGGCCATGATCTTGCAAATTGGCTAGCCTTACTCTACTAGTCTATCATGTAGGTCAACTCTCCATCATCGCCGAGCACGTTAGAAAACGGTGATGGTACCGATAAGGAAGCCGACTTACAACGCAAAACTGACGAAGAGTTGGAACCTCACAAAGAGAACGAGGAACCAGGAAGCGATGTTGACTCCCTTTGTAATAATGCAGCATCTGAAAAGTCAGGGTCTGCCGCTTCGGAATGTGATGATGTGCAGGTAATCGGTTTTTCAAACTGTCGCCGAATAATTTGCAAGGTATCATCCTTTGTAGGTGGTCGCTTATGTATCAGGACCGCCCGCATCAAGTACTCCTAAGCAAGTAGAGATTGAAGAAGTTGTCTTGGAGGATAATGATAAAGAAGTAAGAGCTGCAGTCAAATCTCCAAGCAGTAATTCTGCAACGAAACCAAAACAGCCAGAGTACAGGTAATGTCTGAAATAATGAACAGACTTAGCGGTAAGTTTTCAACATTCCAGAACCCTTTCTATATCTGGTGTATCTGTACGAACTGATGGGGAGAAGGAATCCTTTTTCCGTCCTGCCGCATCACCCGGAGTGTCGCGGTAAGTTCAGTTTGTAAAGCCATATGGAGTACGATGCACAATCTTTATTTAAGAACTCTGCCTATATCTGGCATCTCCATCCGTGCAGATGGTACACCCATTCGGCCGCACACTGAATCGTATGTCCCATTTTTATCTTTGCGACCTGCGCAAATCTACATTTTCTATTTGTAATTATGACAAATTGTAATTTTTAGATATCGGAGATCATTTCCGAACATGCGGCATTCCACACCGCAAAGGTATACATCGGTACGTTATCTCATATTTGCTCTCTTACACTGCTTAATACTAAGGGTTTCGTTTCAGAGAGCCACAGAACAATATGAGAGACGCCGAGAGCTTGCGCGACGAAAATTTGATCTCGCTGAACAAAAGCGTATGCAAGGAAGGAAGAACATTCCCAAAGTTGAGAAATATAACCACGCATCGAAGAGATCTGGAACTCCTTCGTACAAAAACTCGAGAGAATTTCGGGTATGTTTTCTTCTTGCTAGATAAGTCTGTGTACCAAAAAGGCAGTGCTTTGCAAAATATCCAGTTATTTTGTCAATGCAGAATAGTCATTTTTTGTAGATTATTCGATTTGTTAACTCCACCTTTTCTTACTCACGGACTCTTTCTATATATCTGCAGGCAAATTCTTCAACTAGATCGCCCTTCAAACGTCCTGCATCTGAAGGTAGCCATCATTCGAGAGGTCCCAGTTATGTCGTTCCTAAGGTGCGAAGTTTTTTCTTAGAAATGTCGGCGCGTACATAGCTTGAGTTTTTGTCTAGGTGAAGAGAGAAGTATCAAGTTATTCGGATACATCTCCGCGACCGAGCAACACTTGGCGAGGGAAAATCAAACGATTTGAGGATTAAGTTGTCACAAGCTTTTTTATTCCCATAAGAAGAATCAAGAACTCAAGGATACGAACTTGGAATACTCGATTCCCCCGTTTCTTAGATGTAAGGAATGATTTTTGAAGCACTTTTTCTTGACTTGTTGCCGCTTCCACCATTGATTATGTTCATATGTTGGCTAGAAGCTTTTACATAATTAACTTGTTTTTGAATAATCTATTTTTTCGGTCCTTGTATCATGCTATTATGGCTTCGCAACAGTAACTTTACCGCTACTTTTTATACCGAATATTAACTACTTTGTGATGATCATTGTTCGAAGTGTGATTCTTTTCTGTTCCCAGTTTTGCTCATTTGACCTTAATTTTGTTGCCGTTGTTACCTTGTACTTTGTTCGGGTATTGTTCAAGTTGTTACTGCACAGAATCATTGTAAATATTTGAGGTTTTGAGAAAGGTGCACAATATAATTCAAATACGCTGCGCTATGCTGTATAGCTTATAACCTTCACATTTCCACTAGAAGCATCACAGTAGATTTACGCCATGAGTTTGAGTTTTCAAATTCAAGAAATTTCACTTTTAAGTGGTAAAGTAAACAACCATCAAAATATCATAGAAGTCATGCTTCTCAACAGAATGCTTCATTTCACTGTTGCACGCACTTCGAGTGGTTATTTATGATGGATGAAGTGGCAGCTCCGCCAGAAGTAGGAGTGAGTCTATGCTCATTCTTTCTCTACGAGCACAAGCAGGCCGGTGGCATTTTCTGAATGGGTCAAGCTCCATCATCGAAAAGTTTGACCGCATCTCCTGTCTCCAAACCTAGTCCTACCGTACCGCCTTCTTCATCCAAAGCTCCTGCATCAGTTGCTTCCCGTTCCATCGGCACTGCTCGTCCACCCTTGGCACCCGGACCACCCTCTTCCGTAGGCAAAGCTCCCAATGTTTCTCGTTCTTCTACCATTACTGCTCGTCCAGCCTCTGTTCGTGGAGCTCCCGCTCCGCCCATAAAAGTAAGCCAAAAAGCATATTCTTGTAATATAACATTGATTTTTTACAGCAACCAGCACTACCCTTGGAAAGAGAAAGGAACTTGAAGCGGAAGAAAGGGTTTGTTTCCAAAAAAAATTTCGTTCAGGAACGCTTAAGAGTAGATTTCAGATTTGACTATCTCCTAGTCACCATCGAATTCCAAAAAGGAAAGAAATTCGGTCTCGGAATGGTCCATACTGAAAATCGCGTGCTTGTGAATAAAGTTGATGATGGTAAGCGAATTCGGCTAGGTAAAAGATAGAGATGAAGATAATTTCAGGTTCAATGTGTAGTGACTCAATGAAGTATTTGGATAGAATCTGCGATGTAGAAGGAATACCAGTGACAGATAAAGAGTTGTGTAAAAAGCAAATTGTTAAAGCTTTGAAGGTAACTGAAAGATATGGAATGAGGTAGAATAGGCGATCCTGGGTAGGGGTAAGCGATCCTCAAAGCAGCGAAAGTGTGACTTGCTGGAGCCGGGATTATGATCCTATCGACCATTCGAAAACTTGAATATGCCCAAATGAAGACTTGTACCGGCAGAATCATTTCTAGCAATCTTCACCAAAAATCGGTGTCAAGCACCCCCCAAAAACCCCCCTTGGAAACCACAATAAAAAATATATTTTTTCCTTGATACTGTTCTTCTTTTTTCACTTTTGAGCCATTTTTCCAAAAGTAATTGGATTATTTGAACTCCTAAGCATTTGAGAAGATTGTGATTGGCTAACATTTTTTCAGAAAGATCAAAAAGTTTCTTTAGCGGTAGAACGGCCAATAACCAAAGACAGAATAAGCCAAGTACAGGTTAGGAACCAAACTGTATTCAGCTGTATGATACAAATAATTTAGGACTTACTGAAAAGGCTAGAGACTCAACCGCCATCTGTTGTTTTGGAAATGGATGTTAGGGATATAATAGCTAGATACAATCAAAGATTACAGAGAGGGGAAATTGGTAAAGAGGTTGGTCATTTCATTCCGAATTCGAATGAAATAAGTTTTTTTAGCAAAGCGCTATGAAGAAAAAAGATCACGCAGCAGCGAAAGTTTCTTTAGATCCAGGCATACCGACGATACCAATTGGGATGGATAACTCGCATTTACAGGAGGATTTGGAGGTAGGGATCTTTACAGTCTGTCTGAACTGCAGTGTCCTGTGGTGCTGCTACGCCTGTTCAGTGCGATGGCCACAAGTGCCGACGTCTAATCGATAAGTCCGATTTGACTGCTCGAAGCAGGCGATCGACTTCGCGCAAGCACTCGTGAGGCGATTATATGCTGAAGAAAGGGACACCGCGGTTGAGATAGACTGTACCTTACTATTCAAATAAAGGCATGCTGCTTTCAGAAAGTTCCCGTGAAGACCTATGAAACTTCGCTGGCACGTCTCCAAAACCAAGATGATGCTCAAAAAAGTGCAGCGTCAATCACTACGATGTTGAACCAACAAGAGCAGATGCCACAATCGCCAGTTCTCCAAACAAGTCCCATTCCGCCACCAGAAATTCCAGCCATGCCGGCAATGTCTATAGAAACCCAGAACCCGGCACCTCAAGCTCTTGTACCGGTTTCTTTTCCCGAACAAAAATTGAATGCGGTCGTAGCACCGTCAAATCCTCCGGCGCCAGAACCGCCGGGTAAGTGAAGAGATATTCGATTGCTGGAATACAAACGATTTAAATAAGAAATGACTGACAAAAGAATAAATACTTTATTTTCTTTGCTTATTTACATAAAGCAAGAATTTATCGCTCAAAATAATTTTGCGCGATCTCGATTGCCATGCGATGTGGCATAATGCCAGACGCTTTCAATAACAAATGCTGTAAATTGCAGCAGTTTAGCTGTAAAGGAAGGAAATTCATGGTTGAGTATAATAGCAGCGGCTCCATGAGCTTTTCAAACTGTTGGCAAGATGCCAAATGACGTTTGCAAAAAACGCTAGGGATATATATATACACTTGAGTCTTCTGGAAAAGATGGCAAAACCATTTAGGGCAAAACATAGTAGCAGAGGAGGATGGTCCGCGCTACAGTATGCTACAGTACCCCTACGGCATGATAGCGAATGCGGCGAGTGAGCGCTCCTCATTGCGTCGCGCAAAAGGTTACGGTAGTGTTCTACTAGGGTAAATTACGGTGAGATGTACTGGTTGGCCAATCTACGACAGTTATCATGGTCCAATCTATCCTTGATAGTCTCCCTGTAAGACTAAGGATGTTTGTTATTGACAACACGTTACTTTTGTCTTAGTTGTGCCTTACATTGGATGCCTCTTATTTTGACTGGGCTGGACCATTACTGCGACATGGTAAGCACATTGACAGCTAACAAAAGTGGGATAAATCTGCCGGAAGGGAAGAAGAATGTGGAGGTGGAAATAATAGAAGTTGGGTGGATGATGTGAAGTTTAGTTTAGAGTAACAAAAGCGAGAGAGAGCGCGCGGGAAAAGGGGTGTTTGGTGGGAGAGTTTCTCCTACAAATGTATGAGACTGTGGCCAACGTGGGTACGACCATAAATGAGATGCAGGATTAGCAAAATCTTGAATGTTCATTCTGCCCAAGTGGTTAGTTGCCTTTCAAGAAAAAGGTGGTGCACCGCTGTTACTAGGTTCATCTGTTTGCACAGATGCGTATTTTGTGACGTCCACAGTGGGACATACTAGTGACACTCAAGAAAAAGCGACCACAGCTTGACAAGAACGAAAGCACAAGACAAACATTATTTTTGTATACTTAGAAACGATTTTTCTTTTTCGTTTATCATTAAAGCATCAAACATAAATTTATTGACATTTACGTTCTTTGAGTAGTGTCGTAACAATTAATAGTTTTTAGGAAATGACTACTCGCCCTGCTTTTCTCATGACAATGTCATTATGGAATTGAAGGAGTTTGAACACATCAATGGTCAGTTTTATTGCATTAATAATCAATTAAGTTTACAATATCGAATCCACCCAGGTTCAACTGGAGACTTACATGATGCATCCACAGAACTTGACAATATACAAGAGGAAGAGCAGCCAAGTGTACGACTTCAGTACGGCTTATCTCCTTTTACCAGGCGGTTCAAGTTACTTTTCAAGCGCTTGGTAAGACGATTCGTAGGGTAGGGTAACAAAGATTAAATGCCCGAGTCCGAGATTTCATGTATTTACGCAACAACTAATCTGAATCTCAATTACATTGTATTCTGAATTATTTTCGGAGATTTCCTAATTTTAAGTAACAATGTCCTTGCAATTGACCAATGCTCATTTCCTTGTCTAGTAGTCTATATCCATCTTTACCGAAAAGAAAATTCTCTTGTGATTGTAATTCCGTCAGAACTGTTCCAAGAATCATTTACCCTCGATATCATCCCATATGTCTTCCCTCAACATGACGTGGATTACGTGGCTTGATGAGGCGCCGCCTCGCCTCGGGCTCGCGCCACGTTGCGAGCGCATCATTGGGTGGGGGAACGAAAGCCGCCAGGTCCAGCCGCCTCCGCGGACTGCTGGTCCTGGAACGACATGCAACAACGCTGCGAAAGGACCAGCTGGCCGAGAAAGGCGGCTGGACCTGGCGGCTTTCGTTCCCCCACCCCGCATCATTTGGCGCGACGTGGCGCTCAACACAACGTGGCGCAGGCTATTCCACGTTTTTCTTGTTGCCACATCACGCCGAAGATGCGCACGCACCGTAGCGCAAGCCCGAGGCGAGGCGGCGCCTCATTAATCCTCGTAATCCACGTCATGTTGAGGGAAGACATATGGGATGATATCGAGGGCAGCAATCGCTATGCGTTGCTTTTGCTCGTGGTAACTTAAATATAATTTTTAGGTTCAGAGAGTGCTAAGTTAGAGACAGATGTGGCTTCAAAGCCTATTGAAGTGTTCGAAAATCACTAAGAATCCTATTCAAGAACTACCTTGAACGGGTTTGTGTGGGCGGCTAGAATCCGCTTCGGACAAACCCACGACCTTCGGGAGGAGCTGAACTTACGATCCATTCTTGTCGATTCGGAGGAAAGCCTACGACTTTCCGAGGAAGCCAAACCCGTGATCCTTCGGTGGTCGATCTGTTCGTCAGAAACGAATCACGAGTTTGACTTCTTCAGAAAGTCGTATACGGCTTCCCTTCACAGTGACTTTCGCCTTTCGTAAGTGCAGTCACGTTTGTTGGAAAGAGGCGGAGACACTATTGTACCTATTAGAATCTTATCGCTCCTGCTCTGCCTTGTAAAAATGAAGTGATAGCGATTGTAGATGAGCTCACCACTTAAATGCAAGAAATATCAGGCACGCGCTATACTCAAACCGCCTGATTCACTTCATCCATTTCGCCATTGGTCATTGCACTGATTTAACCGATAGCGAAGTAGATGAAGCGGGTCAAGAGGACCAAGTATGGCGTGTGCCTCAGGACTGGACCGGTGCGATGTTACTATATAACCCCTTACGACTGAAATACCCGTGGTGTGGTTAGGACGAAAAATACGTAATTTGCAACCTCTAGGTAGCGACTAAATTCATTTTGTGAAACTTTGACTACCATTATCTAAGCAACAATGTGCAGTCTAGCTTGCAGCGTCGGATCCGGATCCGCTGCGGCCACCCCGCACGCCTGCGCCAATTTTGGCACCATAAAATAATGAACACTTTTGTATCCGGTCTTCTCCCTCCAAAAAACGCCAAACACAAGTATAAAAACTTTCATTTCCGGATCGAATACTATCCGACAAAAAAGTGTGTCTAATTAAGTGTTGTATCACAAACCATGTTGGAAAGATATTCGACGGAGAAACATAAATATAAAGCATATACAATATGAGAAATTCATGATTTTTTTCGTATGTCAGCCTCTGTATGTATTGTAAAATAACGTCATAAATAGATCTCTAACGATAATTACAATAAATTACCTACTTGTTAGTACACTAAAACACTCTTACACTTATATAAATACAACAAAGTATGTGAAAATGTGTGTGTGTCAATTTAGCAGCATTGCAAATGATATGCACCCTAAGGCACCTAAAACCATAAAAATCATCTCTTCGATTCTTTTCACATACTTAGAAACGAAAAATCACGCGTTACACGGGGGACTGCATGACTAAAACTGACTATTTTGACTGGAATTGTATTCAAAATAACACATATACAATCAATATCAATTCAAGTATGATGCGGATAAAACAAACAAATGTCGCGATACGCAATATGCGAATAGGAATGAATGTGAGTAACCGTAATTCAAAGACCCGTATATTTTTGAGATGAACCTCTTCGAGCAAGGCTCATCGACGACGCTACTGCACATTTGAAGATCGGGGTGATCGATGATTGAAGTCAATAAATTGATATGAAAGGAGATGCGATGTGAGTGATATCCACACGACCTGGCTTTGATAGTCACCGCAGGCAGTTTACCTGAAACCATGAAGATAAAGCATGGCAAAAGGTTTTATCAGAGGTCTGATATTTTTTCTAGAATGACAGGAGAAAGTCGCCTGTTAAAAGCCTATTTCAGAAACTTCAAACCAAACAACAGTGGAGATATCGAACATTTACAAAACCAAAACAGTCAAGAAAACATTTGCTCAGGGGTCGTTCAGACCGCGCCGGAACCCGCCCAAACCCGCCCGAATACGTCAAACGTCCAAACCCGCCCAAATACGCCCGAACCTGCCTGAACTGCCAATGCGCAGCAGGTTGCATGCAAAATGGCATATTGGAGCACGCATGCGATTGATCCTTTAATATCGGAATAGTTACAAAAAAGATAGACAGGTATTAATGTCGAGCTACGTGTTACTAAGATATATGCACTACGCGCGCAGTATCCACGCGTACCTAATATGCCAATTTGCCGCATATCCGCTGCGCTTTGGCAGTTCCGGCGTTCAAGCGGGTTCGGGCGGATTCGGACGTATTTGGGCGGGTTTGGGAGGATTTGGACGTATTCGGGCGCGTTTCACGGATTCCGGCGCGGTCTCAAGAACGCCTCAGATAGGTCAGATTTCATGTGGTGAATACCACCTAACCCAACAATCGCAAGCTAAAACGAATGTGATATTCCATTCTACGTGCTGAAACCCCAGAAGAGGTATATTTGTCACCCGGTCTGATCGGACGCTGTTTACCCGTCATAAGGGAACGCCCGATCGGGATATAGACGGTTCATAACGATAAGCATCGGACAGTCAACAACAGATGTCGACAGATACCGACAGCAGATGGGAGTAATAGCACATAAAAGCAAGCTAGCATGACAGTTCCTAAGCAAGTACCCTCATTTCACGAATATGGGACGCGGGGGATTTTTTTCTAAAACAGAACAGCATAGACACGCCGAAGGACTTCGCGACCAAAAAGCTATGTACACTGCTGCATATTGCCTGAGAGTATAGCGCGGCTTAAGTCTGGTTTTTCGAAACACAACGAGGCGGCTGAGCGGCTCACCTACTCGTGAAATTAGAGTAAAAAAATAATAGGAAAAAAACAAGAAAATAGAAGTAAACACCGACCTTTTTCTGCTTTTTCTTCTTTTCTTGTACCCGTTCCAACACTTGTTTCTCAAGTTCCTCGTCTCTAAGGTAATCTAGCCCGAGAACAGGGCGATTACCTTGTTCAACTAGGATTTCATCAAGAGCAGCCCAACACTGTCTATTCATTGTGATCGCCTCGAATGTTGACGTGCCTTCTGGCACTAATTTGGCCACCATTCTGGAAGCATTTCTTGTAGAATCAACGTGAACCTCAGAAAATGAGCACATACTCGAAGACAGGAACAGCTACAGTATCCATGAAGTCGAGCTGAATCTTGGGCACTGCTGCGCGGTCGCGGTCCATCATTTCCATGGGACTATTACCCATCTGCTTCTCAAGATCACCTTGTGAGAAAAATTCTTTGTAGATATTCTCCTGAAATCAACAAGATCGTATGTCCTGATAGAAACTGCAAACAAAAACGCATGAGACCCAGATCCATAACTCACCGCGATAGCTTTGGAATTACGGAAGTCCTTTGACTGATCAGAAAGATCACTGGATGTCATAAGTAAACACATGAATAAATAGTGGTGATCACGAGACATTGGATCGTAGCCTTCTGAAAATCACATGAACTATATAAACTCGATCGGCATTATTCGGTAATAAAAACTTACGATCGACCATGGCTTTGATTCTGCCAACTTTTCCTAAGTGAACCGCGATATCAGTAGCTAAGATTACATCGCGTATATGGCTTAGCACAGTTTGATATTGCGTTCGCGTTAGCTGATCAAGAATGTTGCATTCTTTCATCTGAAAACAAGTACATTTACTGTAAACCAAGCAACACCTGAAGTTTTCTAAACAAGAAAAACAAAATAGATGAAGCAGAAAATTGCGCTATAAGGACTCAGATAAGTGTAAGAACTAGGTAGAATTGGAATCAAATGCACTAGAAAAAGTGGATGAAGTTGAAAAAACTAAACAAACCTGCAAGATTTGCACAGTCTGTGCATAATGATGCCTCTCCAGAACGCTTCCTTCGCTACTGTACAGTTGAGCAAGAGGTGTTTTCTGAAACATACGGTCAACTATAGAATCCAGTCAAAAAAGAATTTGGTAGACACTGACTACAAAAAATGATTCAGAAATCAAAATCCACACAAACGCACCGATTGAAGCTGGAAAGCATTTGTTGTGCCGCGATGGTCAATATCATGACAGAGACATGCAATCAAGAGCGCTAATCGCTCTAGTTCATCCAAACCATGCAATACAGCTGGTGTTCGTAGAGCAATCCAGCAAAAGTGTGCTACGGAGAAAGCATGAGACCAGTTATGGTATGGAACCTAAAAGATGGGCGTAGTATTTTGTCTGCGGACGTGTCAGTGTTTCACTACTGATGAACGCCCAGAAGCGGATGCTTAGATTTTGCGCACCATCCCATTTCAAACATATCCACTCATGAGAGGGTATAGCCGGGTCAACGCACGCAGAGACAGAACGAAATAGCAGACGCGGTCGGCGTCCTCCGATCAAAGGCACTCTCGTCGCCTTGCGGTTTGCTGGTTTTATCGGAAACGAACTGCCTCAGTCAGTCGCAGCATCGTATAGTCTCTATCTCTACGTGCGATGAATGGCCTACAGATATAACCGAATTCCAAGATGATAAAAATCTTGTACCACTAGGTTGCAAACTCCCAGACAAAGAGATATAAATACAAAAAGCAGAAAAGAAGCAAAAGTACATCAACACCTTGGAAAGTGAAAGAAAGAAAGCAGAGCAAGTTTCTATTCGAATGAAATATGACACTATAATACATCGAACCTTGTTTATAATTGAGACTCAAGCTCGTGCACCCACAGTAAGCCCTTATGAGACAATATGGTAGATAGACGCAACATGACCCATACTAATACCCCTCAAGCAAAGTTTCAACGAGTTTTCCTATACTCGTTCAACCTATGCCTACCGTAAACTTGCGAAGAAAATACCATGCGAAACAGTTACAATGTCGTTAACGATATTTTTGAGGCGTTATGTGGAGCTTGGAGTACTTCAAAAATAGATATTTGAAATAAGCATGGCAACATCAGCTTTGGTTGAATATTGATAAAATGACACTCAATGACAAAAATGCTTTTTAAGATCGCTTGCTCATCAATGGGCTCTCCCAACGAAACTAACTACAGTCGCAAACCTTCAGTAAAAATTTGCTAATTTGCATGTGATGCGTAATCTTCCCATTACACACTAATGCCATTACTACACGTGGAGCATAAGACATTTGTATGGCATTAGACCTAGTTTTCAATTGAACGCGTTGGCACAAACTACAATCCATCCACACAATCAACTTTTTTTTTGAACTAGCTACCACAAAATCAAGAATCAAACCAATGTAATGATGAGCTGTCAAACCCCATTGTGAAGCTAATTGTGTCCTCTGCTAAATGGCGATAAAACAACAAAAACTATAATATCAAAAATCTGTTGAATCAATGCTGCTTTGTATTTATAGCCTTCAAGTATGATGTACACTGTATACGCTATACTGTTAAAACTTTTTTAATTTCTTGACTGGGCCACAAAAAAAAATTCGAAGGTTGGGAAAAAGAATAGAGAAACAAAAACGATGCAATAATCTGTTTTCAAGCACGAAACACTACGAACAAACCTCGCGGTATCCTCGAGCGACTCGTAGTAGAAATGATGCCAACTTTCGCTTATTTATCCTATAGCGCTCGGTGAAGCCAAGATCCTACAAAAAAACTGATTCAAGGCATTAACGATAACAATTCTTCAACATACATTGAACATAGTCATCGAAGCAGACATGTAGGCATCATAGTCCCCAATGGATCGAGGGGAAAATGTAAACCGATCAAAATCCGGGCTCCAATGCCTAGAAAGAAGAGCGGAAATCACAAAAACGGGAAATTCATGAGGTTGACCTACCTCCACTCCTTGATCGTTTCATCTGTGAGTTTGCGTACATCTTCTTCTGATATCTGAAGTGGGGCAAATACAGACACAACGGAAAGAAAAGGGATTCTCTTGGACTTACAAGCAACTGTGACCCTTGCACCAACAGCTCAGCGGCCATATGCGAGCGGCGTTGAGCCTCCTGCACTTTTCGATAGAGCAGACACTGAAGAAATAATCTCATCAAATCAGTCAAATACGAAGCAATCAGAAAATGCATAAGAAAATTAAGCACCCTGATGGACATTAACCACTTGTAAAATCGAAAGAAGGAACTCCTATAAATCCTGGCAATCATGGGTACTATTACCAATACACCTAGGTGGGATTTCGTAGCGAGTCACGAAAACTGGCTAAATGACTGGGGCTGAAGGCGGAGTCTAAAGTGCAACGGAGCGGTGAAAACAGAGAACGATATTTCACGATCTTTACAAACTTTGAAAAAGTGCTTACCAGCCAGCTTCTGTTCCCCAATAATAGCAGGGTGCTTATTCGCAAAGATAGGGTTTACACAGAGCTTAAAAAAAAGATGTTGTGTTCTATTCAAGAAGGATTATAGCACACCAGAGTAATCTGGCGCGCTTCAAGTATTTCGTAAGATTACGTGGAGTGACAAAGTGCAAGCGAAAATTTCGAAAACTAACCTCATTATCAATCAGAAAGGGCAAGAAAAATCACTCTTTTTCTTCCCCTACATGAGAAACTGCGATGAAGTGGTTTTTCTTAATCAATTTTGAATAGCACTTAAACACAGTGAAGTACATATTTGATTAGCTGTATTGTTTACATAGAATATTAGGAGTACAATCCATGTACCACCGACATTTTGAGCAGCACCAAAAAATTTCTATCTACGCATCAAATTAACATACAAAAAGTCCAATTTGGATATAATGGAGAAACATCGTGCTGCATTTGCAACCGAATAGATGTGCCCTACACACACGACAAGATACTAAGCGAAATAACACAACGGTTATAATTTAACTTTAACAACGTAGTACAGCCCTCAGAAGATGAAAAATTCGAAAAACAGAAGGGTGTAATAGGAAAGGGGGGGGGGACAGGAAGAGCATACGGCAGTCAAGCTGAGCGTTAGCATCTTTGTACAGTAATGATAGGCAACTAACCATTTTTGACTCCCAGCGCAGAAGATGAAACTGAATGACACTATTCGCATAGAACTCAACCTTATATCAAAATTGACACGTGGTAGATATAATCCTAGGGCTTATGTGTTCTAGATATTTCGATCTGACCAATATTAATCACTATTTTTCAACGCAGTTTCATCACAGAAAGACCTAACATTCAACAACGTTTTTCCATTGTTCTAGGGATGATCCGTCCAAAAGTCAACGGAAACACCATATAATTGTGCATAGTAAGCTTGACTCATTTCACTTTGATGACGAAAGCATGGAAAAGGAAATCTCAGCCCAGATTCTATTGACATGAAAAGCAGCATCAAATAAGGAATCGAAGTTTTAGACTGCATTCAAAGTCAGAACAGAGTCTCGCACATTTTTTTTCCTTCGTCAAACAAAAAGTGAGCTTCAAGTCCATTTACACGCACCGAAAATATAACTAGGAAAACAAAAATTCAAAGAGCTTTCGAAGCAGGAAGTACCATTTGGCCATAAGATCAAAGCATATGAGAAAAGAAGGGAGAGAACAACTTCAGAGGCGAGAAAATGACAGCACAACTCCTCATCGACTATAGCATGAATGCGAAATAAAAAGTGAGACGCCAGAAATGCTTCGCTGCGTTAATTAATGCACAAGCTTATTCTTCACTAATGTCCAACGTTGCCACCAAAGTAAAAGAAAGGATCACGAAAAAGCAACAGGAAATGTAATGTGAAAGTTCGTTGACTCACGTGTGATATGCTAGTCGCGCAATATACCGCGAATGTGCGAGCTTTCTGTTCGTCGTGTCGAGTAAAGCCAGTCCTTCCCGCTTTGTTGCAAAGTTCCGCAACTCCGACAAATGTTCCTGAAAATATCAGAGTCGACGGATAAGTAGCCATACTCAAAGTTTGAAGAGATATTTGGTACTGCATGATAACATAGATGAGATTTGAGCCATGCACGCGTCCCGTAACAAAAAACTTTCCGGACTTTATAATAAAGGGCGTGCAACAATAGAGATAGGAATCACAGGAAACACCGGATGCTCAAAGCGATTACATATAAATATTGAGCATTAAAGTCGCTTTATTAATGTGAATAAAAGAATCCATTATTCGCGAATTATGGAAAAAAACGTAAATAAGATCAATCGACGGGAAATATGATGATGAAAGGCAAAAGCTGGGCAAGTCAAAAAAACCTATCTGACAAATTGTTGTGATGTTGTTTTTGTAAGCATTTTATTCCCCATGATGCAAGTATCTATGTGAAATTTCCCAAGTCACAATAATAAGCACTACGCTAGTTAACAAAAAAAAAACAGTGCGTGTCCTATTTTCAGTTTATTTTTACACACTCTATTGAAATAATAATCCCTCGTGTTTTTCAGCGAAAATAAAGAGGAAATATTAAAAACAGAAGCTATTACCATACCGTAGAAAAAAAAATCAGCAGAGATACGCGTGAGACTCTTCGCTAGTCTGTGTCTGTGGCTTTTATAAGAGTTCTGCCTTTTTATCTCTAACAGACATAGACAAATGTCACGTGCATATTTGTGAGGCTTCGTATTTTCTGAGCGAAAGTCAAGTATCAATCAACAATTTTCTCAACAACGGATGCAAAAAGTTTGAGCGCATGATATCCTGAACGATGTGAATCTTACGTAGGCACGTAAGATTGACACATCAATACAGAAAAAGAAGATCATTTGGTTCTCACAATGTTGGGATCAGACACAGAGAGAGAAGGAAATAGCGAAAAGCATTCAGTTCGAGTGAATATGCGATCACCGCTTCGGAGCTATTTGTACAGAACTAGTTCCACAGTTCGAAAATTGATTGTCTGCGAAAATTTCGCGAGATTCCGTTCATTTTAAGGTCGGCACACAGTCACAGACACTGCCACACACTCGCCTGGCTTATAATACTACTATTAGCCCATAAAACTTCACTGAAGGTAGAAAACCCTCGACTGGGACTCGCATGCTATAGAACAATCGGATAGAAAATTATCATTAAGAAAAGAGAAACACCCAAAGCAAAAGACGAACATCGCAAGAACACAAAAAAGCTTACACATTGGCGTCAAACGACTCATGTGAGAAAACAAACGCAATGTGAACTCAAGAATTGCTGATGTTTCTTCGACATTCCGGTTCCGTGACTTACGAGAAGAAGAAAAAACTTCGGAATGCTGATAACGACGGATGCTCTGACGTTGGTACGACAGAAACACATAGCGACAATAGCGCAAAGTTCACAGGATCACTTCACTGTCACAGCTCCGTGTTTTCGAAAAAAATCTGATAGATAAGTGATGGATTTTGATGAGCTCAAACGGTTTTGATGAACTGAAGAGATAAAAGCAAATAAATTTCAAGTGCTGGTTGCGAAATTTCGAAGAAGAAGGAAAAGGGGTCTATAGGGTAATGGTGCAATGGGTGGGCACACTACTCACCCCATCACAGACTGTCTACAAAAGAAAAGAAAAAAATTCCAAGACTCAAATAATATCTCATGCCATAGCACCTCCACCCAACTAATCAAATCGAACGCAGATCCATAAAAAACGCCAAGGAAACTTCTTTAACCGCTATTACGCTCTGCCGCATGCTAAAGTGCAATGTCGTTGAACAATTTCGCCATGGCAGCCACATAACATGAGTAAGTGCATTCAGCTTGACTATCTTTATCTCAACTATTGGCGAAAGGCTTTTTCCCGAGCACATTCAGAATGAATGATTTGAGTTCTAAAAATCTCTCTGATGCGTTTGAGCACAAATACTATCGAGAATCTAAGCAAGCAATGGGAAATGGCGTAGCACGCTATGAAGCACGAAAGCACCATAGAATTCACAGCAGCATATCTACACAAAATGAACGAGAAGGTAAAAAAGAACAACAAGAAAATCTCTCAAATTACTCCGCACCTGACACTACATTAATGAAATAAACCCTCCCGCAACCTCGAATACGAAGTCTAGGTAAACATCCAAGCATTGTGGTCATGTGATGAATGCATAGAAGAAAATAACGCAACTCGGGATATTACCTACACTTCAACACACACACACATGCCTGCGATTATTCAGCTCTATTTCTCGTTTCTCGTTGTGTGCAAGAAGCAGTGAGAACGCATAATTACCGCCATTATTGCATCTCATGACCAGATAAAACATCGCTTCTAGTGTTATATTGCATTCTGGAGGTTCCACAACTTTTCAAGGGATGTGCAGTGTTCGGAAATCAAATGTATACCATCCCACATTACAAAGGACGCAAGGGCTCATGAAGAAGAGAATGTTGACATCTTATCTACTCCTTGAAGTTGAGGGAAGATGAGAACGTCATCTTTTAGCTGAGAACCAAGAGTTCACTATGAGGACAAATGCGCTGAGTAACACTAGCACTATTTGCATAGCGTAAGAAAACGTTCATCGTCGAAAAATCGGATTCGCCCACATTATGACTCATGGGTCCGGAGAGTCTACCAGCTGCACACTCACGTCTAGCTCACTCTTTCAAGTAAACGCAAAGCTATGGTTCGCGAATGAAGCATGCACTTTCACAGTGAAGAGTATCTAATTTGGAGCGTAGAGAAGAGATCAATATCCCCTCAATGTTTTGAAATTTACCTTAATGCGTAGATTGTTTAACAATGTTATCGTATACCTAACAGCTAACTATCTTAACTCACCCGAAACAAACCAGCCCCGAAAAATGTCCACAGAAAAGTTATTCGGTGGAGCTCCGAACTGTTCATTGGCCAGACAGCGCCTAGACACCGCGCTCAAGTACAAATGGACAATCGTCTGGCGCAATGAGATGAATGCGATAAAAATTCGCAAAGACATTTTGCAATTCAAAAGTGAAAAGGCCAATAACTTACGCGGAATTTTTTTCTACAAAACCTTGGAAAAGGGTAGACGTTGCACAGTACGATACTCCTCTTACATTAATGTGTAAATATGTAAGCACAACGGAGAAATTCAAGTTTCAAATTAAATCTCTGGTGCTAGACAGTGTTTTTCACGCGTCAAAGCAGATGTTTGCGAAAAAAGATGAAAATTAGCGAAATCTAAGTGACTTAACAAGATCAACTGCGATCAACACCGAAAACGCACAAAGTGAGAAAACGCTTCTACCAGATTGCGTAGTTGTTTTCTAGAGCCTTAATTTGAAAAAGTACGAACGCAAGAGAACGTCAGTCACGAAGAAAGCGGAAGCAGCGTAATAATCTTCACAACAATTTTTTCCCGCACAAAATCTCTACATTTGCGCAAAGACATGAAAAAGAAAATTGAAACACGGTAGATTCTTGATTTCACTAGTAATTTAACCATCATTCAACAGTAATTGCCGTGCAATCCCTATGCTAATGATATGTATAGAAATAGTACGATGATTACATGCAGTACAAAAGTCTAAGACCAATGCTAGCAAAAACTCGCCGCACACTCTGAAACATTTTGTAGCAAATTTTGCACTAAAACGTTTAGCAATGCATTACTGCGGCCACAGTACCCAGAATAGCGCTGATAAAACTAGGCAATGATAATCAATAATGGGACGGAGCTCTAAATAGTTTGTCACACGCAAAGTAGTCGAAGTGCACCATCCTCTCATCACACGGTGCATGGCTCTATCGAACGCGAACCCCCACGACCAGACAGCGATGGCAACTCGACGTGACAGCGAACGCACTCGTCGCCAGCGCCGACGCCGCCGCTGTGCCACACAGCCTACGTTCGATAAAAACTAGAAAAGTCGCTTATGTTCGCTAAGGCAGACGTGGGGAACGGGCAATGTGAACTTTTAGTGATGTGCTCGGAGAGAGACGCAAGTTGTTGAGCTTGAGAAACATTCTAACGAGAAACCATCGTAGGATTTCGCTAACTCTTACTGTAAACATTATTTTATCCATACCACGAGCCTAGACAAGTATCACACACGAGACTCATTACACTGGCTTATGAGAGTAAACTTGACCCCAGACCTCTAGTTAAAAATGTGATTCGAAACAGCGGTAATCGTACTCTCTCGAGACAACCACCAGTGGGGACTGACAAAGGCAAAAAAACCCCTCTGGAGAAACATAAATCAACGAAAAGCACTAGGAGATAAACTGCATTATCACATTTCGTTCAGAACTACGTGACATAGCAAAAACGCTCTCTTTTCGGCCGCATGCCAACGGCAACATAGTGGCACGTCGACCATGGATAGCACTATATTTACGTCAATAAACATCAAATTACCATCGAACAAAATGGATAGGTCATGATAAAGTTCAAAAGAGCGAAAAAATTGAAATATGAACATTGAAAGCTAAAAAAACTTAATGAAACTTTGCGGCTAACCTAGCTCTTTCATCATCAATAGGTACAAAGTTGAACAGAGTAAAATTTGAGAAAACTAGCAAAATTCAGTAGTGCACAATACAGTAGAAATCTCAAAAACGTAAAACCTAGAGATGCTTATACAAACAACCCACATGTAGAGCAGACGCGCTAAAGTGCATATTACAAAACTTTGTCTTTAACGTGCGTAGGAAATGCGAAAATTCCCGACGCAGAACAATGCCGTTAAAAATTACACTCGGGAAGACGAGCGGGGAACGCCTATCACGTACAACTCTTTTCGCACATACAACCGGTTTCATGCCATAGCATGCGTCAAAAAACGGCTATCGCGATTTATGTGCCATCGCTTTTCAAAAATCAAGAAATTTCAGCGAGAAATTTCCACCCCAAAAAAGAATGAGATTTGAGGACTTTCTAGAAATGACAAATTCAATTTGAGCAAAAAGCCATCGACATTGAACCGAAAAAGGGCTAAAAGCATTAGGCGGCACGTTCTAGAATGTCAAAGACGTTGCGCCAAACTTGTTATATCTCTTAGCGCACGCGCAATAACGACTAGAAAATTCGCTTTGAATTTGTGTAGTAATAAACTAGTGAACACTCAAAAGCAATGCGGAAGTTTACTTTTAGTACATAATATTCCATGCTACATTAAAAAAATCAGGGCAAATTTTCAGACGTACTGAGCTATGAAGATGATGTAATTACCGTGTTTTATAACGATTAAAAGCCTCTAATCTTTTTTGGTGGTTGCCGAGGAATTAATACAGTTACGTCCTTGCTAGCTGACTTGAAGAAAGTGAGACCTGTGTGAAGATTCCTCGTTGACAAAACGATAAAAGGATGGAAATTCATGCATACAACGTGTGTGAATTACAAATGTGCTTTTCAGATGTAGAGGATTCATTCTTCAATGGCATTTGAAAATTTTTGTGCGATGAATCAGGAACATGCATAATTTCAAGAGAGAAAGAACCACAAAGTCCAATGAAACCACTGTGAGTCTCAACGAGAGCGAAACGGAGACCATCAGCGTTCGAAAAGCAACAGAACACACAATCAGTTCAACATATCAAGCGACCACGAATTCACTACACGCTATCGGCGACGTCGGCGCCAAACGACAAATGTGTATGACTGTAAAAAACGCACGTGCTTAACGACGAATTTTTGATGAAAATGCTTTCTGCGTGACAATTACGATGCGATAGCCAAACGCATTGCGATGCGATGCGATGATGATAATGACGTCGTCTTTGTGTCTAGTGAAACGTGCGATTCGCTCACTAACACTCACTCACATACATACACACAGGGCCTTCCCCAACTCCCTCCCTCCCCTTTCACCGGAAACGCAATCGATACGTGCGTGCGCGTACCCCCCTCAGCCCTCCCTTGCCTCCTCACACACACTCTCGCACACACGCTCCATACGCCGCTAACACCAGGCCTCAGTGATAGTAATTCGGAAAGCGTTCAATTAGGATTGGTAGCCGCTGCGGATGGAATTCAAGTTCGTCGTCATTTTTTGCGCCTTCTAGAAGGGCACAAAAAAACCTCAAAACCTGCTCAACTAGCACACGACCAATAAATCCACAGAAAAAAATAATGGCAGATAGAGCAGCTCAACGCTCGTATGCAATATCTAAAGAAAAATCAGTGCTATAAACAAAATTGTATCTACAGGAAGATACAATCTGCGACTATGCACTCTAAGCGCAAGATCACTCGCAAAGTCCTTATGACATAGAGGTCAAATTAGAAAGAAAACAAAAGCATGCAGTAACACACAAGTAGTTCAACACAGCTCACAAAAACAGAAAATGAGTTATCAAAAAAAGTATCAAATCATAACTAGCACAGAAGGTGGCCGTTACATACCTGAGTTATCAATGATGGGGAAGCAGAGGATGTTTTGAGTGTGGAAACCTGTCAGCTGATCAACGCGTGCGTAAAAGAAAGGGCATCTGAAAAATATCACACTGATAACTTGGAACAAGGCTAATATGACAGGAGTTTAGTTTTTCCTATTGTTCAAACTACATTTGTATGCACAATAACATCGCTTGATGTAACCTTTGCGCATAAATGCATTTCTTCGAGGCTTAATTAAGGCCTAGCACTTCCACGCGTGGGATGTATTCATGATGCGTCATATCGCTGTTTCCAAGTTCCCCATTGTTTTTGCAACTACTGCGTGAGCGGATCTGGGCAATATCCAATTCCTGACAACTACTGCTAAGTACTAAGTATATAATGCTACACTGTACCTTCAGAAACATCTGAAAAAGATAATACATTTCTCAAGCTGAGTATCATAAAAGCTGATGGCGCCAATGTAAGCTTTTTTGACATCGAAAAGTGCTCGAACACCTGGTGATAACGAAATTCACACAGAAAATGAGAGTTAACTGTCTGACAAGCGCATTCATTGCTGTCTCTAGGACGATTGAAAAAACACAGAGCTTATCAGGAGCTCAATCAAATACCAAACAAATTCCAAGAGAAGTGAGGCTAAAACGTATTCTATGTGAAGGCTGGCCACTTTATGTTTCGAAGCAGGGAAATGAATGCGCTTAATTTTGAGTTTTGACAGTATGAGGTTCCAAAGAAGTCTCAACTACTATCAAACATTTTACAATCAAAAGCGTATATACAGCCTACTACGAAGCTTCTAGAAAAATCGTTACAAAGTAATCACTCTTTGATTAGATTCTCATTTATAATACATGATGTAAACATTCATAACTGAGCAAACATTATTATCCCATTTTCTCTATACTCATAGGCTTGCGTGCCACACGATTTTCAAATGATGTAAGAAAAACTACATGTCACATGACAGTAACATGGTAAAAAGTGTGACCTATGGCTTTCTAGTAAATTACGAATGCGCAAATATTAAGTAGCAGAAAAACTCTGACTTGTAAGCCATGGATACGAAGACTCAGGTGTCACTAAAAACCAATTTGAAAAATTGAAATCTTGATGGTACCGTACCTCTGTACATCGCGCACATTCATCATTGTTCGTGTAGTTGCCACACGTCCTACGACTCCCATAGTCATTGGAATTCTAATTTCTGTAAGGTCACCGGCTTTGTCGAATACATTCGCCACCAGCTCTTTGTTTTCGTTGTCCAACAAAAATAATGAACATCTAAAACGATTATATATTGTGGTTCAGAAGATGATGCAAGTCTATATCTATAAATGACTTTTAAAAAGCGGAAGAGTTGAAACCACAAAGAGTCCAATTCACATTGAGCTCGGTTAAATTAGTGTAAAACAAGTCAAGAAAATCTCACATACACTACTCATTTGGAAGAATTAGGTTTGTGCGAATTATAGAGCGAACAAAAAACAGTCTAGTCGTTGAGGATTGGAAAAGGATGTTGAAAAAACCTCTGGTTTCGACATTAAGGACCCATCCTTTCCCTTACTATTCCTCTTATCTGCCTACTAGTACTACACTTGAGTGAGTTTCACATGAATTCTTCAAAAGTGCATTGAAACACTTGTGAGATTTGTAGCGACTGAGCGAATAGATAGTCCTTATTACTCTATTTTGAGGCAACAATTAGTCATGATTTCTGCCTCGCATGACACTTTACAGTTGCACTTTTAAAACTCTGCTATATTATTTGCACATCTGTGCATCGGAAAGCAGAACATGGACAATTTTTCAAAGTCGGAGTACTGACATCATTCGCTCGATACCTGTTCTGCAATCCGCAAAGATTTTGCGTCAAGTTGATCGACAAAAACAGAAAAGTACAAACAACATTCCTTCTAAATACGTCCAATAATTGATAATATTTGTTGAAGTTCCCCTCAGAACATTATGACTTTCAGAACATTATGACTTCATAGACAAAAAGGAACAAAGAATTGTAGCCTTGTTTAGAATTGCCCCCAACGATTTAGCACTAATTGGATGATCATACACCGCTTCTCGCGAAGATTTGTAATAATCGAGATAGACCTCAGCTTTCTCCATGCTGTCTAAAGATAGTTTGTAACCCACATCCAAAAAATGACAATCAACCTATGATTCTCCATTCCACACAATCTGATCACTATCAAGCGGAAATGGACTTATTACAACATAACCACACTAGCGAATGTTTAACTCCGAACTGCTGCCCATAGAAACCAAATCCAGGCATTTCCTATATTTTGCACGCTAACTTGCCCAGTGACTATCAGCATTAAATATCATAGCAAACTAGTCATCCTTTTCGCTGAAAAAAGCCATCACAAGCCTCCACAGTACCATCACGTCCCATAAAGTCGCAAAAATGACCCTAAGCAAACCTCGTTCTCAATGCCAAGTCACGTGTAATTCTAATCATTTCATACCACCGATAGCTCCATATAACAATAAGATCGCCTCGTCATGAACAAAAAAAGCACCCTTTTCTTAGCCATTCACACGTGGGAAGCAACAAAAAGTAATGCCATGTGACAAGCGAACAATTTCGGCGCTCATTTTTTGCCTGATGCGGTAAGAAGAAAGCAATGACGAAGCCGTGCGTCCGTACAGCTGCTCAGTACGCCATCACTGATCAAATAATCGAATGGGATGTGTATTGTGGCAAAGTACAGCTGAACTTATCTTCGAAAAGCATATCTAATGTGCACTGAACAAAAGCGGGAAAAGAAATGATGGAAGACTTGAAAACTGGCATAAGGCGTCTATTTATAAGTCACACACATGGATCATGACATAAAAATGAAAAATGCTGATCTTTCGCGGAACTCACGTTTCTGCATGTATTAGATTCCTTGCTTCGTTTGTAATCGTTCGGATAAGACTTTGCATATCTTCAGAGTGGCAAATCAACCTTTGATAGACACCTGGAGAAACTGGTCTCTCTCCATTACGAGTGGACGAAGATGGTGACGGCGTTGTGCGCGTGTCTGTCTGCAAAAAAATAAGACCGGATTGCGAGAAAGCGGTAAGATAAAAGCTTCGACCCAGAGAAATTCGTGAAATTAGCATCGCGCTGCGAGATCTACGGCGAACAAGAATGAGTGGTACTGTAATGGATGATATTTGAGTTATATTCGGCAGAATCGTTTGATTACGAACTTTGAAATTTATTTCTCTAACTAAGCGAGGCCAACACAACAGAAGGAAGATTAGGTAAGTTCTGTAGGCCTTACCACACTACTGTGGCCGTATTCATCAACGAACCCAGAGGGTTCCGGAACCCACTGGGTAGGTTCAACCAACAAGATTGGTATTCACGAAGCTAGTGGGTTCGAGAACTCAGCAGTGCTTTTTGTGAATATCGATCCGACCCAGTGGCACTGTTTTCGCTTACCCACTGGGTTCGTTGATGAACACGGCCTAGATGAGATCCACAACCTTCTTTTGCAAATTTCGCCTACTGCTCAAAATCAAACGGAAACGAAAATGCTTTGTATTTTGGTATGTTTTGCGTTTTTTTTTCATTTTCGCTGATTTTTTCGTGTGGTTTAAATACAACTATGCTGATGCTAATGAACTCAACACAGTAGAACTTTGCGTCTACATGTGAAATAACTTCAGAATGCACAACTTTGCACAGTTGGAAAAGTAATACCATGATACAAATCAAACAGCAAACGTCACTTTAATTCAGTAATGTAAAATGCAGTAAACAATCGATAGATAATAAATATCAACCTGGAGTATTTACGAAGATCGTCATCTACGGTTTGTAGATGATTTTAGTGCAAAGGCTTAACAAATTAGAATCTAGTGAATTTGACTGTTTACATAAAGTAGCAGTGCTTGCGCGGTAGAATCATGCTTCCCCAGTGGCACTCGCGATGAAAGTTGCCGTGCAGCATATTTCCAGAATTTGCGTCCTACAGCCATGTTTAAGCTATATTTACGCTCTAAACTGGCGTAAAACCTCAGAATGGTGAAGTTTGTTCAGTCGAGGTACTGTACGGGAGAATAAGCCCAAACATCTTTGATTAATTATCCAATCTCATATGTGATCTATGAATCAAATAATCAGAATCAGTCAAACATGTGGTACTAATTCTCACCATGTGAATAGCTCGATACCACCTATTAACAACTTAATGTCCGCTTGCAATGAAAATGTTTTCATTATGTTAAAGCAGCTACAGGGCTCTTAAATTGCAGAGTTGTTTGCACCAGCGGCCGCGCGACCGCGTCGCGCCCGGGCGTTTTGCCAAACCTCGATCGATGGCGCCGGCGCCGGCATTGTATCTTAATATTTTCTCGGCTTTCGTCTTTTTTCTTTGTTCTTCTGCTTATTGGGCCCTCAGCGAGCTTCATCAAATTTTTCGAAGTAGTCCCATGCCGGCAATCGGCCTCACAGTTCTTTTGTACCCCTAGGTTATGTTTTTTCAGGATTCTCAGCACGGCAAAAGAAGTTATTATAGCTTAGTCATTTCGGAGAGGCACAGGTGTGTCACTTACTCACTTGCTTATGGTTTTCATGATAGGTAATATCTAGGGGTACAAAAGAACTGTGAGGCCGATTGCCGGCATGGGACTTTTTCGAAAAATTATGATGAAGCTCGCTGAGGGCTCAGTGAGCAGAAAAACAAAGAAAAAAGACGAGGCGGACGAGAAAATATCAAGATACAATGCCGGCGCCGGCGCCATCGATCGAGTCTTGGCAAAATGCCCGGGCGCGACGCGTTCGTGCGGCCGCTGGTGCAAACGACTATGCAGTTTAGGAGCCCTGTACAACTTAGCATGAATATCTGCTGCAATAAGTGACATGATATATAACAGCTATGAAAAATCCCATCTGCAAGCTATATTGAGCTTTACACGTCATACAAGTGAAAAATTGAATAGATTGTCACAGAGAGATCCATCTGAATTTAGAGAAAAAAGGTGTTATTCCAAACTAAAACTATCCCGAATTTCACGTGTGCGCATAAAAAGTAGGTAAGACATTGGAAACTTGAACAAGCGTCAAGATTTCCTTTGTTTGGCCATTGACTTAGATATATGTTCGTCCGTTCAATCTCATCTCACTGCTTGCCTTTTCCCCGAAGCTTTCTCCGAAAAGACCAGCACTTACAATGGAAGAGAGCACTGATACAATTATCCTATATTCGATGGTCCCCATCATGTATGGAATTTTCGATTTTGACGCATTTAGAGAGGAACTACCATTTCGTTCTGTTGTTCCTATTTCTCTTCCTTTTGTTAAGCACAGTTTCTGCGAAAAATAGAACATATAATGACAGCGAACCAAGACTCTTTTGGTGCTACTCGCTCGAGATGACACAATGACTTTAGACTGTCAGCATCGCTGAAACTTTTCACAGAGCTTATTGCTTGAACACAAACACATCTAGCATGATGATATTAATCAACTTTATGTGTGATATAGAGCACAAGCACGCTTAAGTTTTATAAATTTTCCAGAAGTTACTGAGCGAAGCGCATGACAACACACCTTTTTCACGCAGAGTTTTCATTCATACAGAACGAGATTTCTGACTTAGACATGACAGGAAAAGTAAGGCGGGCAGCTCAAAAAGTCATCCTCTTTTTCTGGATTGCTGGCTTCCCGATCTGAGTTCTGATAAACTTTCAGCCAGTCCTACGCAAACTTCTCCGAACATGTGCCGAAAACTGTTGAAATTTCAAAACAAACTTCAAAGGCTGAAAGTTTTTAAGAAAGCATTCGACTTCTGGTGAGTCGTATTGTCTATAATGGCAGTACACATACTTTTTTCGTGATGTGTTAGGCACCCGTCAACTCTCAAAAGCGTCCAAAAGAGCCCAAAAGGGTTCAAAATTCTTTGATTTCTACTAGCGCGTATATCATCTTTCCTCACAAACATGTTCCTCGCTAGCCTGAAAGCGCCAGCACGCTTTTGGGCGCAGCGAAGTCTGTCGGGTGCTCTAGAGGTCAGCGCTCATATATGTATTGGGCAATTTTAAGCTAAAAATCGGACCTACATGCAAAGAATCAATCCGAATACCCTATAGCAACTAACACTGCAAAAACAGACAGTAAATTCGTTCGAAATTCTGCAACAGAAATAATATAAGAAAAACCCATTCGCGCATTCACCTTCATCTGAAGACAAATCTAAATATGGTTACTCTTAAACCAAGATTTGTATGGTTTTGGCAAATGACTAAAGGTTTGATGGCGAGTGTATCTAATGCAGTTAGTGCGATAGTTCACTTTGCATCAAAGTTTCAGCGCAATCGACAGTTTGAACTTTTGTTTGATCTTCAGCGAAATAGCGCCAAAATTATCTTGGAGGAGATAAGAATGCATTTTGCACATAATAAGATAAAACACATAGGAAAGACCCCACCTCATCTGTTTCGCAAGACGAGCTGGACATCAACAACGGTGGTGCTTCAGCGACTGTCGACACAGTAGCGGACACCGCTGAACCGCTTGCGCTGAGCGGCGGATGCGATGATTTCCGCCAGACAGGCGATGACGGCATCGGCAGCGTTCCTAGATGTGGACTAGAGTTTCGACGCCACTCTACAATGGACATGAATCTGAAATTGTAACTGATAACAACTATTTGGGAGAAGGAGGAGAAGGCAGCAACTGAACGAGATAAAACGAGCGCATAAAGAACGCAATGGATCATCACACAGTCGACAGCAAATCGATCGGGGGAATTCTCCGCGACAAAACCAATCGCAACAAAAAAAATGCAGCACGGCGAAAAGAGCGGACCGTCGCATACTGTGCGCGCACGTCATCGTTCTTTATAATAGCATGCTTAGAAGAGCTTTGAAAAGAAAAGGACGAACAGTGGAAACAAATCGTGAAATCGAAGAAGGAGCTCAGCACATGCACGTGAGCAGATTCCGTAAAATCATAGATAATCGCGATAATCTTCCATGAAGAAGCATCAGTAACAGGGAAGGGAACACTGTCGAAGTGGCCTCTCAAGATGATACGCACATAGTTTTGAAAGGCATCAAAAATTGATTTGAAAACTTCCTCTTCATCTACGAAGCGCCTTTGAGTGAGGTGCTATGACCGTTTCAAGAGCCAAAGATTGAATGGGCGACGAGGATAAAATTGACAGTTACAGTGTACATTTCGCAAATAAAATTGCTTTGAGTACGGGTATAATAGACAAGGATTATCCTTTACACAGAATGCTCTGACAGATATTACTACTCCATTTGAGCGCTGAAACTTTCGCGTATGATTTCCTTACTCCCTCTTCATATTTTCTCCAAAGAAACTTCCACAACTCGTTGCCCAAAGGCATTCCGCAGATTGGGGTGGACAGATTTAGGATCAGCGTTCGATGCCCTTCAACCCTATATACATATCATCTGGAAAGGACGCTTTGACCAGGGATCTTTCCTTAGTAAGACATAATGCATTCCCTCAACAGGAGTATAAACGATTGGACAAAGCAATGAAAAGTAGAGCTCTCTCTCTAGCAAGTAGTTGCTGAAAGTTGGGTAGGATAAACAAGAGCAGCAAATGGGAAAAACAAAACAAAAAATGATTATAAAACCTGCTCTTCGCATACGATAAACAATCACAGATATAATTTTAAGACAGAGTTTCATCTCCTGACCACCTTTCAGTTCAGCATCGACATATTTTTTCCCAATTTTCTGTGTCTAGCGAAATACTTGCGCATGTTGCTATTTCTGTATTAAGGATGCAAGTACATAAATATGACAAAGCCACCTCATTAGCTGAAACTTAAAAAGAATGGATCAAAGGGCTCGTAAGAACAAATGATGTATGCAATGATAACGCTGCATCTCACGCTAAAAAGCTGATGTGTGATGCCGACATCTAAAGCGATAAAAGATCAATTTGAAAAACAAAATAACTCGCATTTTTAATCAAACTGGGAGAAATGAACATTATGAAATGACGCCAGCGGTGTGTTTCGCTGGTTAAAAAGCATTTACGTGAAGCAAGTAAAAAGTGGATGACCGCGTTTCATCGAAACAACCGAGAGCACAAAAAAGGCGCTTATCAGCAATCTTATCAACAAGACAAGCAATCAATGCTTTTTGAAAAGGATGAAAAGTAGGCACGAGGTGCCCGAAAAAAAGCGGGCGAAGTTCAATAAAAAGTCTGTAATGGCACACACTACAACATAATCGATCAGGTGATAAGCACGTAACAAAGCTGAGGAACAATTTAGCCTCAAGACTTCCACTGATAGATGGACTGACAATGCATCATATATCGAACTGTGGGTAGTTGTAAATTCGGTAATGTTCGAATCATATAAAACCCGCTATATTCGCCGAGACAAATGCGATGAGAGAAAAAATTCGAACAAACCCGATTGTTCTTCCCAAACCATTTTTTCCCATGTGCTTTACAGCTTCTCAACGCACACAATAAACGTGTGTCATCTTCTGAATCATATGTCGATGAGAACCATACATGGAGCGCAGGACTGTATGATCTTAAGAAGTGAAAACCATGCGAAATTATTAGAAAACGAGCAGCAGATAGGAAAGAAGAGAGTGGTCGAGGTTAGTTCAAGTAGATAAGGGGTTTATCGAAGCAGCAATTGAGCTGTTCAGCATACAAAGCTGGGCGGAGGTTCTGAAGACACCAATTGATCAAAGATGTTGATAGCATGCAATGTGGTTTTGAAAGAATACTGACCCGAAAAAGTCGAACACTGACCCGAAAAAAATAGCTTGCAATATAAACATTCAAGGGCAGGCAATGGTTGCTAGATGACTCCGGCCACTTCCGGTCACAACATCAAAGTACAAAGAAGACAGAACGCACCGGATGTGCTCAAAAAGCAGGAAGAGCGGGATGCGGGGGCCCTAGGGCAGGTGTAACATGGCCTAGAACTTTCGGGCTCATAATCGATGTGTGTGGCCGTCAGTGCTGCCACCCAAATTATTGGCCGCGTGCCTTTGACGCAATGAAAATAGACTGAATAATAATGGACAGAAGAAACTGACAAGCACGAGAAAGCCATATGGACCACATCAAATCATTTGAAAGGGGTGCTCAAGAGAATCTGGGACCTTTAACATAGAAATAAGTGCGAGGTATAGCCCATCAAGAAATAAGTGCGAGGTATAGCCCATCACCAAAGCGGGAGTATGATTCATTCGTGACCAATATCTCAACAATAAATTCTCGCCCATCACCGTACTCCTTTCCAAGCGGACTAATATACGATGCCCTCGACTACGGTAACGGGCGAAAACTTAGGGTTTCCGCCCATGGATGAAATCATATTTTCTAAGCTGTCGCTTGGGCAAGGACTCAGTTGAGTTTAACCAAACGGTCTCTATATACATCCACATTATAGTGCTAAACAGCAGAAGTTTTAAAGAGTGACCAAACAAATACGGAATTTTGAACTAATAAATGGACGACAGAACTACTTGAAATGAATGAGTGAGTACTTAGCTGGATACATAACCGAGATCGTGTCCAGGTGTGACTGGGGACTGAAACGGACAGATGATTTATTTGAAGAACGTCGTTCGTGGCACCAAATGAATGAAGGAACAAATCATAGTAATTAATCGATTGGATTACGTGTCAGTCATTGAACTTCTGAATAGCTTTTTAATTGCGTGGGAGTTTGAACTTTCTGATTAAACTTCCTGAATAAGACACTGTATAGACTTACAGGCTAGCATCAAAAAATGACGCTAGTCCATAAGCGAATAAATATGCATGATTGACAAAAAGTTATCAACTGAAGATTTAAATGATTATTTTAGAAGTCACGAACTATGAATGGACTAAGAATATGCGATTAGAAATGAATGGACAAAGAGACTGAAAATCAATGAAGGGACAAGTAATAAGATAAATGACATACAAAAAAAATGACATTCAAGTCACAGCCGGTTAGACAAGTCACAAAGTGTCATTCAATTATTATTAAGACAATGAGTGATTGTTACATGTTACATTACTGAATGTCTGATGAACGAATGAATGGACAGAAGATAAAAACCATAGAAATGAAGTTACACGAAATGGACAGAAAAAATCGATAGAAATGCAGTACATACAACGTTGATCAACAGAATCAACATATAAACTACCGTAAAAAATGAGCAAACAGTGTTTGAGTTCGAACTGATTACAAGCGTTAACAAATTCTCAAGGTTTTACCCAATAATTTGAAAAAAAAAAACGCATGCACAAGAAAGACCGATGCGAGAGGAGAGTGATTGGCTGGATGATATGAAGAAGTTGAAAAATATAGCATCACTGCTCTTTTAATTAACTGCACTTTCATCTTTCAAAGTTCACGATAAGGTCAACGAATCATTGGGACAATTAAGCCCAAGATTTACGAGATACTCTCATTAAAAGAGGCCTATAGTTTAAATTACTTTCAAAACGAATTATCGCCTCACGACAATTGCCAGACGTTTCAAATTTTATAGCTGGAGTACAAAAGACAAAACATACAACATCATTTTGTGAAATGACAAGCGATACCGTCTGATAATGAAGTGTGGAATGTCACGCTTTGAAGTGCACTTCAAGGGCATGTGAACTCACCGAATACTACGAAAACCAGAAATCAGCCAATGAACTTGAGCTGGAATTCACGAAGGGCAAATCAGTGGCCATGTGGCTCGTTTCGTTCGCTTTAGTGTAATATAATCTTAGCCACGATAGTGCTTAGGACTAGAGTGAGCGGATTACGAAGATGTAAAAACGCCAAGTTCAGCGGTTGTGATGTCGTGTGATCTCGTATTTCATAGGACATGGGGATAGCTCGAATTTCAACTACGCTTGAATTTCTGAGGGAAACTGAGAAATCTGATCGAATTAGCGTATAGTTTGGCTAGAATCCAAAACATTTCGGTAGGTTTGAGTACGATGCAGTGATTTGTGGGAGTGAGAAAATTTGCGTAAAAACAGATGACAAGATTTTGAATGCCGACAAGTTGCTCGCGAGTTGGCAATAGGGCAGACAGACATAGTATCACTGCGCGGAAACATGGCGATGCTACCGTTTACGCGCAAATGTTGTCAGCAACGCAAGCGCACTAAAGTAACCTGAAATATAGAAGAATGGTACAGTGGTACTGCAATATGTGCAATTGCACAGGAATACCGATACAGAGAGGATTACAGCCGATGTATTTGCAACTGCAATATAAAGTTTGCACACTTCCTTAGTTACAAACACTTCTTGGGACCGACTTATAAAAAAACAATCAGAGATAACACACACAGCAAACCATCTGCAGTTACCCAAAAAACCCAAAAAACTTTAATGGGCAATTTGTAAACATACATGCCGTGAAACGCCGTGCGTGATGTGCAGCACACATATTAATCAAGTCAGAAATATCGACTAAGTGCTGAATCAATGCGAATTCTATATGGTATCGTTTTCGGCACTTTTGGTCTTTTTCCAAAATAATTTATCCCAATGGCCTATGTAACCTACCAAAACTGTTCACGTAGTTGAGCGTTTCTGTGTAACTGCACATATTTTCGTCATCTGC